GGCATCTTATATTGCTCCACCATTGAGTTAGCTCGTTCTGCCACTCTTTGTACTAGGATGAAAGGCAGAGTTAAGCCCTTGGGATGAACCTATCAGGTTCAAAAACTCACCAGGACTTTGCCATAAACTGTACCCACCCCCAGTCTGAGATGATCTGCTTTGAGACCCCATGCAGCCTGTAGACAAGCTGCATGAATATTTTCACTAAGACCCAGGTGGGAGTTTTGGACATGTTATGAAACCATGGTTCTCTGGCTATCTGGGATATATACTATACCCTGCCCCTTCCACACTAAGCCTTGTTTCAGCATCAGGTTACTCTTATGCTTTTGAAACTACTCATCCATAACCACTGTTTCTTTCAGTCACTGGATCAGTGAGTCTCCTGATCGAGGGGGGATCTTCTGTGGCTGTCTCACGCACATCAGTACTGCCAGTTGTTTGGATGGGATAATAGAATTAATTATTTCTTCTCTAGTGCTTACATATTGAGGCAGGTGCGAGTGTCTCCCCCATCCCAGCAAATAGCATAGCTTTAAATGCTCTTCCATTGTCTTAGTATAAATTAAAATATCAACCAGGTACACCAGCACCGCTTTGTACAGGTGTTCATGTAAGACCTCTTTATCAACTGCATGAACACAGCTGGAGCTCCCTGTATCCCAAACAGCATCACCCGGAATTGGTAGCACTCCAAGGGACTGTTGAACATGTCTTCCACTCATCCCTCTCCCTAATCCTTACTCAGTAGTAAGCTTCCCTCAAGTCCAGTTTAGTGAAAATTATCCCTTTGGACAAGTAACCCAACATGACTTTCAAGGGGGGGGGGTACATGTTCTCCACACAAATGGAATTTATAATCCACGCACATCATCAAGGACCCATTCTTCTTCAATTTGGCAAGCTGGATAAAGTCCCTGGCCAAATTCTTATCTATTAAGCCTCTAAACTCTTCCATCTCCCTGGACATCATGGGATGTATCTTTGGCTTCCACGACTTAGCCCTTGGCACAATCCATTGGCTGGTAGGCAGCACTGTCTGTTGGACAGTGGGGCATCAGCACATCCAACTTTCTTGCGGGTTTCTCTTGGAATAAACAGCTCCACTTTCATTTCCCTAACCACAGTCTCATGGCTAGCACCTGGCACATTCACGGGTCCACTAGTTACTTTATTAAAAGCTTATCTGGCATGATCTGTTTTTAACAAAATTATATCAACTTGTTCATTTCTAGGTGCTAATAAATCCTTAATCTTTTCCAGGATTTTCCCAGGTATTGATGTCAAGCTGATTGGCCTATAATTTCCTGGATCCATGCCCACCTTTTGTTTTTTTTAAGATTGGAATCTTATCAGACCTTTCCCAGTCCTCTGGTAGTTCCCCTGTTTTACAGGAGTTTTGAAATATTACATTCAGTGGCTCTGAGATTATAACCCTTGAGATGTAAACCATCTTGTTCAGGTGATTTGTACTCATCCTTTGTAATCTTAGTTTGTTGAAGTCAGCTTTCTGAAAGTCTAAAACACTGCTTTCACTTTGTTCAGGTTGTCTTGGTGTTTAGGCTTGGGTTTTGGTCCTAAAGTTATCCCTTCCCTTCTAGTTTTAGTTTAAAGCCTTTCAGATGGAATGAACCAGTTGTTTTCCAAACATATTTTCCTTGTCCTTTGAGGGTTGCAAGTTTGGAAAACAATTGTAACGTATTTTAGAAAATGAAGGCCCAGATTGTTGAGGGCAATATGCTGACTCTGTAAACCTCTTAAAGAGTGAGTTTTAAGTTCAGATCAATTTTATTTTGAGGATATGTTTTGAATAATATAAGTAGTAATAATTTAACATTCACATTCCCATTTTTGTTCCTTATGGTGGTATGGGTATTCAATTTATCTTACCACACAAAACATTTTTTTATCTCCAGGGCAATGTCTACATATTTGTTCATGGTGCATTGTATAATACAGTTGTAGATAGTGCAGTTATAATTATAGGCTCTTACTTATTTTAAGTTTTTAAAGTGACATTAAGAAATTCTTCAGATTTCCCCTTTTGCTTTTATCTTCTTCAAAGTTAAGCATTCTNAACCCGGCTATGGCCAATGCCAACCTCGTTAACACGAGGGCTGGTGGGGTGGGAATGGCATCTGGGAGAAGGGCACAACGGAAAGGGGGACAGGTCCACAGCTGAGGAGTGAGCACGAGCCACCGCGACGGCTTCGCTGAAGACGTCCCTCCTTCTACTCATGTGACACACACACCCCCGGCCAGCTGCTACGGGGCCGGGAGAGCACCAGCAGAGATACCCTCCTCAAGCAAGCGAGTTGGCCACGCCCACCCAGGCTTTGTGGCTCCCGGTGTTTTCTTTTCTCCGGGAAACAAGTCCAATTGGCTCTTTGAGTGTTTTAAGGTTGCAGACTCCTGACGTAGGAGAATAAATCCATCAGGACAAGATTCAGCAATCCAAATCTTCATTCTTTGGAAGGCCATACTTTGGAAGACAGCAAAATCCACATTTTGAATAGAGAGGACCTCTGGCTTGAAAGAGGGATCGAAGAGGCCATCTAGGTCAAAAGTGAACAGTTCTCTCTTCACAACAGGGGGAGGGAATAGGACATTGTCTATCTCCAATCTACAACATAGTCCTTTCAGCAATTCCAAGAAGGCTCCACAACAATTTGCACCACTCAGGTGACCCTGAGGACGCAGAGAAAACCTCCAAGTGGCCGCAATGATTCTCTCAAAGGATAAAAATGACCAGCTGTCTGCAAGGAATATCAATCCTTCCATCCCCCACCATCCAGGCAGAGCTGAAGAGGCTTCTTGGATGAGAAGCAAAACGTCTTCAAAGAGAAAAAACAAGAAAGTCCAGTTGCCTCTTGAAAAAAGCACATTTGGGACAACCAGGACCTGGATGACGGAGACTCTCCATAGATGGACTGAAAGGGAATGGCTGGCTCCATGTAATTTCCTAGCTTATGCCAAGAGTAAGGAAACACGCACAGCGGTTATAAATGCATACCTTAATGAGAAGGAGCTGGCAGCGTAGGTAAGCGGCAGAGAAGTCAGCCAGGCCAGCTAAGTCAGACTGCAATTCTCCAAACCTCTGGAGGTCCCTGAGGCCAAAAAAGGTAAACATATGAAGGAGGCCCTGCTGATTTGCCGCAAAAAAGGTAAAGATTTGAAATATAATTGAATTTCATCACCATCCGAGGAGACCTTGTCAGTGCACTCTGAAGTGGGCTCGTCAGTGAGAACACTGGCCTTAAATAACTTTTCATGTGATGCAAATTAGCATTAGTGTTGTTTCCCCTGTCCAGTCGCGTCTGATTCTCGGAGGCAATGCTCATCTCCGTTTCTCATCCGACAGAGCCAGCATTCTCCAAAGACAATTTCTGTAGCCAGCATAGTCAAAGGTGCACAGAACGCTGTTACCTTCCCACCAAGGTGGTACCTNCTGTCCGAATCTGCTGCCAGCTGGTGGGCCACACAACAGGAATGCAGCTCCCCTCCTCATATTTTGGGCAGCCCGAGTGGCATGCAGCTGGTTTATTTATACAGGTAGTCCTCGACTTACAATCATAATTGGGCTCCAAATTTCCGTTTGCTAAGCGAGACACCTGCTCATTGGATTCTGCCCAATTTTACAACCTTTCCTGCCACGGTTGTTAAGTGAATCACGGCCGTTTCTAAGACAGCAACATGGTTATGGACCGAACCCGCCTTCCCCGTACAGCTACCGTCGTAAATGTGAATCAGTGGCCAAGGGTCTGAATTCCGATCGCGTGACCTGTCAATGTTTGTAAGTATCAGAAAGGATCATGTCCACCCCCTTTTTTTCCTGTTGTTCGGATGGTCTAAGAAAGGATTATAAGTCGAGGACCGCCTGTAGGGGATAAATTTTCTGCCTCTCTCCCCAGCCTGCCAGGAAGATATGAGCCAGGCATGGCAGCTAATCCTCTCCCCGTGTGAGGTTTCTGTGCTTTAGTGAAAGATTAGAGGGAGGGAAGCCCTTGGTAAAAAAAGTTAGGTATTTTTCTGGACTTTTATCTCCTGCCCCACCTACGAGGGGATTCCTCGGCTGCCAACTTTGGGAGTTTCCCCTGAAATGAAGCAGACCAGAGAGATATCGGCTGTAAACAGCAGCTCCTGCCTTCTGCTTTCAAGAGCCAAAAGCACACTTGAGCCACTAACAAACTTGGCCAAACTTCCACGCCCAACGTTAGCAGCTCTCGGTGGCCCATCCCTGGGGGTCCTGGGCTCTTAAATAGGAAGGCGTCCAGCCATTGTGGCTTTCAGCCCTCCTGGTGAACCCACGCACACCAATGTTATTTGTCAAAGTTTCCTCCCAACTCCCAGGCGGGCTTCAGGCTGATGAGTCACCAAGCAATGTTTATATTCAGAAGACATCTGAGCTGCAAGAGAGAACGCTACGGTTTCTGGCTGGAAAAACATGGGGCATTTCGGCCCCGTCTCGGAGAATTGCAGGGGCTGCATTTCCGCACTGCCGTTTTCCCCACCAGGGAGAGGGGCAACGAGAGAGGTTGTCTTGCTGCGGCTTTCTACAGGCCGCTGTTCCAATGTTGCCGCTGATTTCATTTATCGGATTGATAAGGCTGACCCTGACTCCCTAGGAAGTTTGCCCAGCGGGGAAGGAGGGAGGCATTGTGGGAAAAGAACAAATGAAGGCCCAGGCATCCAGAGGAGAGAATGGAAGGGAGGGAAATTAATTCAGGGAGGGAGGGAAATTAATTGAGGGAGGAAGGGAGGGAAGAAGGAAGGAAAATTAATTCAGGGAGGGGGGAAATTAATTCAGGTAGGGAGGGAGGGATGAAGGAAGGAAGGAAGGAAGGAAGGAAGGAAGGAAGGAAGGAAGGAAGGAAAGAAAAGAAGGAAC